GTATGTATGTATGTATGTATGTCCCCAAGCGATTCCACATTATTCTGAATTCTTTCCACTAGGACTCTAGGAGTGCATAGAGAATCGTGTGCATTTGTGTTGTCGGTGGGCTTAGCGATATCAGGGGTGCACGCGACATCGCTAACAGATCTCGTTTGCGCTTTCACTTCTGGAACAAACAATAGGGGCAGACAATCGTCCACATATAGGGCAGCTTCTCTCTACGTTAACCAGAGAATGCCAGCTACGTAGGAAGTAAGAATCGAAAAGACCCTTCATGCGCGACTATTTGGATCTCAGTGTAGATATCAGAGAGCGATTGCAGCTGGTTTCGAGCAAAGATGCGCCAGCTTGTTGTGTTTCTCGGTACAAGGACTGAGGTAAATCCTGCAGTTTGAAGAATGCTTCTATGATTCTGTTTATTGAATGCAGCTGACATAGCTGGTCATATTGAACACAGTCGAACTTTCGGTCCCGCCACCTCGTGGGCCCGCTTCAACCCCAGATGCTCCTTCGGCTGTAGAGTCAGTCTTGGTCTCGCGCATTCGGCAACTGCATAAGTCTTTGGGGGCGACCCGAAAACCCTTCGAAGGCCATTTGGCATCTCGGGTTCCTCGGTGTCGGAGTCGCCGCCCTTCGGAGTGAGACCCCGTCGTCGCTTTGTTGTTCGCATTTGCTGGCGACACATGGGGGGATTGCCGTTTGTCTCGTCTCTGATGCCTCCGCTGAGGATCGGCTCGCCCCTAGGATCGTTCGCTGTGTGCCTGCACTACTGCCTGCTCTCTCTGGTTTTATGATCATCTTGGCGGCAGGGTGTGTCATGCAGGATCATGTTTGGCGGACATGCGACGTAGATCACAGCCATGCGACGTAGATCACAGCTCGCTGAGGCACTTTTCCAAAGGCTGCGGAAAACCCTCTTATGCAACAGCGAACTTAGCAAGCGTGACAAAGTCCATTTGTTGCACAGCCTTGTCGTTAATACTTTGCGATTCTTCCATTCGACCTTGATGAGTTACTTTCCGCGCATCCTCAGGTCTGTTTCGAGGTGTTCAGTGAAGTTCCTGTGCGATGCCGAAATCTCTGCGATACTCGAGGTGCTTACACCGTCGCAGCTGCATGAGGTTGTGTTGATTCGGCAGTTGAGAGTCGTTGTCATACAAGGTCGTGGCTTTCTGTGGGACACTCTCTGTGATGCGCATGATTGGCTTTTTGATGCGTTTGCCGCGTTGGATGTTGTTCTTGCAGTCGTCGGTGATACATGGAACCTCGGAGTAGCTTGGCGTGAGAAGCTCGAAAGCTTGCAAGAGCGTGTTGAGCAAACGCGGCTACTTCCGCGGCGGTTCATCAAACGCATCTTGAGTGGTCGATTTGATGCCAGAGAACATGCTGTGCGCAAGCAAACGGTTTGCGAGAGTTCGAAGGAGCTGGAGGGCTCGTGTTCCATATTCCAGTGCTGTCGGCTGGAGGGCGCTTTGAATGCTCTGAGTGTCCAATGTCTTTCAGAGCAGCCGCGGCGAAGGCGGCACATGAGGCCAACAAGCACGGACGCCGGGCATTGTGCACCCAGTTAGCGTTCGGAAGCAGATGTGAAGTCTGCAGCAAGGAGTGCTGGAACACTCGAAGACTCCCACGACATCTCACTTGCGTTGCAGCTTGCCGGGACACATATTAGGAGGGCTCGGATGTCAAAGCTGTTGACGTTCAAGGCGGAGATGAGGCAGCATGGAGACCACCTGTTGCCTGTTATGGCCCTCGCCCATTTGGGCAACATTGAAGCCACATCTTGAGAATGATACTGTTGCTATAGCTGATGGGCCGTCGCATGAAGTTGCTGCGAAGAGGTTTTTCGAGATCGTTGACGAATGCCACAGTGGGGTATCTCTTGAGAAGTGGTTTCACGGCACCTTGCCGTGGATGGCCTCTTTCAGGGATGATTTTGAGGGAGTGGTCCCTGCAAGACAGCATCCGTGGCTAGTGCTTTTGGAGCTAGCCGCGCGACTCGTCGATCTGAGGCTTGATACCGGTTGCACTAGTCTTGCTGTTAATGGCTTTGCTGCTAGAGCTGATGGCAGGCTCATTTTTCTGGTAACCTCAGTCTAACTCCTTTCGCATGCTTCGTGCTTGCGCCTCTCGGATCTTACAGCAATGCGGAACAGAACAGAAGCGCTCTCTCGTGCCGCATTGGCTTATGTGTATTTCTTCGTCCGAAGAGTCGAGATTTCAGGCTGTTCTGTTGTCTCCGTTGTTGGCATCGCCTTACCACAGCGACTGGCCCGATAGAATTCGCCTTCGGCTCCACGCCGTCCCCTCCGGACAACAACGGCAGTTAGGAAATACGCAGAAATGCAATGACATGCAAACTGTTAGATACCCAGGTAGTCGGTCATACAGTGCGATTTCTTAGGAGCCTCAATGTCTCTGCCAGCCGACCTTCTGTCTGAGGTGGAGACTGGGCTTTGCAGCGCCAGCACCAGCCCTGGTGTGGAAGATGTTGTAGATGCACGGCGGTTGCATACTCATGACTCGCTCACAATTAGTTAAGTTAGGCACCTAGAGCATCCTTCAAGCTGCAACTGAGGCCGAAAGCGATGCTTCAGGAGATTCAGTGGGCATGGTCACGCTTTTCGTGGCTGGTGCTGGGAGCTCGGAGAATAAGAGACGTCTGACAATGTCTGACAATGGCTTACGTTCCCTATCTGATCTTGCTTACCTGGGTTTAATGAGGTCCTGACAAAAAGCATCTCGCGCTTGTTGTCCTCAGAGCAGTTGCTTTGGGTTGCGGCTCTCTAGCAAACACTGATGACCGGCGTGCACTGACGCGCGTTTCAACAGGATTGTCCTAGAACATTTTCAAGTCCACGCGCTGTGCCCGCGTTGGCGCGTGTCCGCTAACGTCTAAGTTTGAGATGTTAGGGGCACGTGCTGACGGTGGCCCCGAAGGGGCGTCAAAGGTGCTAGCAGTTGCAGACTTCCAGCCGGAGAAAGCTGATTTTATCAAGGAAAATTGTATGCCAAATGCTGGAATGCTGCCTCCAAGAGTGTGAGGGGGGCAATCAGAGTGGCGATGCCTCAGAGGCTCCATTCAACAACACAGCCGCATCTCATAAGCGCTCCTGCACTCGAAGAACGAAGAGTTTGCACCTGAATTCTGCTTTCTCGCTGAATTCAGCTGCTTTTCCTAGGCCCTAGCCTGCAGGGTCCCTCCCCTGCAGAGGGAAGCGGGAAGACTGCACACAAGGTCAGTCCGAATGTGCACCGGTTACAAAGTGTAGCAAGGCAGGATGGATGGTGCAAGCGTCCTCCTCAGTCCATACTTAGCATGGGGCTTCCATGCACGGGCGATGCATGGTGATGCGGCTGCCAGATTGCCAAAGATAGTGGCAAACCGATTCCTGTTGGCAATGCCGCGCAACACGCATCTTTGCCATGCGGCAGCAAGCCGTTCCAAAAGAGGCATGAGGCCTCAGTGGTACCCGTCGATGTTCAGCTCCAAGGTTCTAAGTGTTGCGGGACTTGTAGTGGTCAGGTCATCTGGTAAATCGCATGACATTGTTTCGTTGGGATCCTCGGTTCATCAAAACCGTTGGCTGCGTCACATCCGATCAGTGGTGGAGAAACTGCTGTACGGTGCATGCACCACATCTTCTTGCTTCGAACATGGCTGCTCTCAGTCTTGGGTTTCAGGCAAGTGTGTCAACTCTGTTAGCTAGGCCTGTTAGCTAGGCCTGGGTTTCAGCAGCTTTGGGATGTAGTGTTGGGGTGCCAAATTTCCAGTTACAGTGGCAGTCATCATCTAATTGTGGACCTATCACTATGATTAGCTGCGGTAGCTGCATCAGCCTCGGCTGCATCAGCCTCGACCGGATTGAGTCAGTGTTGCAGCTTTTGACACCCGCCCTGTGCCGTCCTTTGGGTCACGAAGGGCATGAGACTGCAGGTCCGAATTTCCAGACATATTTTCCGGAAGCGAGTGGCTGAAGTGGATGCAATGAGTGAGCAACGAAGCTACACAGCTACAGCTTACGGAATAGTATCGAGCAGTCGATGGTGTGCACAACCCAGAGAGTTGGGGCAAAGTTCATGACATGAGTTCGGATTCCGAGCCAGAGCCTGAGCTTTGGCAGAGGGCCCCGAGCCAAGGCCCTGGCCCTAAGTTGCTGAGGCCATGGCCGCCAAAGGCAGATCTCGAGAGATGGATGATGAACACGGTGAAGGCCGGGCGGCACCACAAAGACACCTTCGAAGCGCATCTCAGACAGGATCCCGACCCTGGAGCAGTCTTTCTCCGACAAGTCCTTCAGCCACTCAGCACAATGCACTTTGGGATTTTTTTACCAAAAACCCTTCGAGGGTTGGGTTCTTGTTTAGTCTTTCCTTTCCGCTGGGAGCGTTCACAAAAAGACGTTGCCGTGGACACGCGGCCGTGGACGAAGACGGGTGGGAGCTCTATAGGTGCCGAGCGGATGCGGCCGTGGACGGGTGGGAGCTCTGGGTGCCGAATCAGACGCAAAGCTGCAGCTAGAATAAGGATGCCTTTCCGCGGACGCCTGGGTGGGGAGCTTCGGGAGCCGAGTGAACGGCGAAAAAAAGCCCGAAAGCCCTGCTCTGGATCATCGCTCTCCCTCGTTTGGTTTTTGGGTTCCCGGCTTGACCTTGCTTGCAGAGACTGGCAATCTCCAGGATGAACCCGGCCTATGGCTCCTACATGCAGACGGACAAGGAGAGTAACCATGCGGTCAGAACCTAGGGCAGCAGCCAGGCCGAAATCTGAAGTGTCTGCGCCCTTTGTATCAGGCATTTCATGCAGTCTGCGAGTTTCGCGCAATGCTGAAGCGCTGGCTCTGTAAATGGGAGGGAACCGACATGGCAAAATGTGGAAGCAATCTCAAGCATGGTACATCTACACATACCAGCTCCAGCGAGCTAGAGAGGTGGCAGAACAGTGCCCTGACCAATTGTCGACATCTACAGATAGCTGTAACTTTGCGAGAAGAACGATGTTGAATGGCTCCAAGGTGTGGGCTTGCTGAGTAGACGATCTCTGGTCAACATGACGTCTTGCTAGGATCCGGAACGACCGAAGCAAGCTGTGATCTTGGCTGCCGGCCGTGGCTCACGCCTCGTGCCCTACACCGATGCACTCCCGACGGTGGGATCTGCAGTTTGCTGACGTTCTTGTTATCTCTTCGATCTGATGTGGTGAGGCGTTGATCTCCATCGGTGGCAAGTCCATGGTGGCTCACACGATCTCGACTCTGCGTCGTCAAGGGGTCCAAAGCTTCTACTTGTGCCGGGGCTGGAAAGGCTCCTGCTCGGCGTTTTGGGAACCTCGAAAGGCCCCGCAGCAAGCCCCTGACGGCCCGGCAGGCGATGTGTTCGATGAGCACCTCACATCGCTGGGCGACGGAGTTCAGTTGACCCTTGGATCGAAAGCAGTGCTCGACACATAGCCGCACCGCAATTCTGGTGATTCCAGTTATCCCGTTTCAGGATCGACTGCCCCGATTTTGCAACGACTGGGATGCTGGAGAGCTTGCGCGTTGCACTGCCACATGTCCGACCTGGGCCTTTGCTGGTTTGCCACCGCCTGAGGGAGCTTTAAACTCTTCAGTTCTTCCAAAGGGGACGAGAAGTGCACCCCCACTCTTGCTTGCACTCAGCGAGGCTACGGGGACATCATCTTCCGCCACAGCGTCACATTCACAGCTGCTGTGTCTTGCAGCTGTCGTAGCTCGAGGTGTGAGCCTTTCCGCCTTAGGTGGCGCGGCAGCTGCTGGAGACCACAGGAGGCATCGCTGCGGTGGTCAATGCGGCGGCTCCTGGCAAGGAAAGCAAGGGCTTCAACGAGGCGAGGGCACCTTCGACAGGCACTCATTTGGCCGTTTTCTCAAGTTGAACGGAATACGTTGGGTGGTGCAGGTGGAAGTGGTCGCGGCCAGTGGCACTGGGCCCGACCGTGCCATACGGCGAATTGGCAAGGGTCGGCGGGTGAGTGAGTGTGACTGCGCCGGGGAGTTTGCCGGGCACACCGTCTGCAGCCAGTTCATGCGAATACTGAATACCTTCCCAGCTCGCTTCCTTGCCTTCCGACTGGCAGCTCGCGTGACTAAGGTTGGTGAAGTTCTCTACATCTGGGAGAGCTATCATGGAGGAAGTCGTTCGCCGGCTCTTCCAGGAGATTTCATGTCATCTCCGGCATGGCGTACCTGCACATGATTGGAGGTGGCACTCGAATTGCTGTCGGGCGGGCTCCCTCCCTTTGCATGGACGTTGCTCACAGGGGCGTGTAGTGCGACGTTCAGCTCACACGTGCAGTCGCTACTGGAGCGTCTCAAGATGGCATGATGTGTGGTAGGAGGACAAGTCCTGCACGGGCCAAGCATGGAGCTTGCCCTGGTGGCTGGAGCCTGTCGGCAGGCAAGGAAAGGGCCTGCTAGTAGATGTTGCGCAAGACAATCACCGACAGGGCCAGCTTGTGCGACCTACTTCAACTCATGGCTGATGAGGCCGCATCGAACCCACTCATTTCAAGAACTCACATCTCGCATGAATTCTGTGTTCCGAGGGCATCTGCATCTCCCTGGCCATGGTCTTTGGGGGATGGCATGAGGTCAACACACCCCCGGACTTGACAAGGCTTGCGAGAGAAATCACAGGTTTCAAGAAGCTCACAAGTCTTGGGCAATTCATTGCGGGCAGGGCTTCGAACGACACGGCGCTTTTCCTTTCGGAAGAGGATACCGTTACCCAAGTGAAGGTGCGGTGCCCCGCCTGTTCCACGGGCGCGTGTCCGACGTGCTCCGTCAGGCCATGGGCGCTTGCCTCCTCAGTGAGGCCAATGACCTGAAGCGACCGCTGCCAATTGTCGCCAAGGCGTGACTGCGGGGGCCGGCGGGCCATGAGCGTAGTGAGCATAATGCAGAGTTGATGAGACAACCCATTCTTTGACGAGGAGCTCAATGTCAACTTGGAACGGCTTGAATGTAGCTCGTCAGAAAAGGTGCATACACTCTGGTGACAGGCGGGCGGGGAGCTTCAAGCACTTTCTTTTCCGGCCGAGGTCTGCTGAAGGGCAATCTAGAAGTGAGTGATGCTCTGGACATCATGCGCAAGATGAGCGAGGTGCCACAAGTGCTTCTGCAAGCCTGTGCGAGTGCATGAGTTTCAGCAAATGCAGCAGAGCAGGTTTATGCCGTGCCGCTCAACGACCTGTGGCTGGATGCAGATGACACTTCGTCTCACATTGCTTGAGACCTGGTGAGCAAGGCAACAAAGCGTTTCTCTGGGCCCAGGACACCGATGCCGGAGTTCGAGTCTTCACTATGGAAGCTTCGGAATCGTCTGCTCGAATACTTGACAGAAAGGAGCTCGATAGGGCCGCGTTTGAATACACGAGATCCATGGCTTGGTGCTCCAGGACAGGACAGGCAGTAGAACGCCGTACTATGAGGTGGCTTGCAAATGCTGAGCACGGCATTTTTTGAGCTGCTGGAAGTCTTGTTCCTGTGCTCCTGCTCAGTATCGCGACGCCGCCATGAGCCGCTGTAGCCAGTTTCGGCCAGAGTGGATCAAGGCCGTGACATGCCCTCGCTGTCGGGGCAAATCAAGCAATCGCCCTGTGCCAGGTGCTTCGTGTCGTTTCTCGAAAGCATCGAGAAGGGGTGTTCATCCATCACAGTTGAGCAATGAAAGCCGGAGGAGTGCAGGCTCAGCACATTTGAGGTTGCATCTGGAGATCCACTTGATCCCGATGTTCAAATGAACAATGGGCGACCTGCCCTGTGCTTCCAGAGCCGAAGTTTCATTACAAGACCTCACAGCAGTGTTCTCCGCTTTGAAGTCGAAGGCATCTGATGATGCAGACCACTCTCTTCATTGGTCCTGTGGACTTCCACTACACCGACAGTGCCCCGCCACGTCCAGTATTTGCGTGACAGGAGATCAAGATAAAACCACACTAGGCTTGAAAGGTGACCACTTTCTGGTCAGTGCTTGTGATGCAAGAAGATGCGAGTGCAGTGAGAGTCGTATTGGTCGATGCCAAGGGCATGGAAAGGTTCACCGCAAGGAGATGAACACTGGAGATAGAAACTCGCCGGCACACAACTCGGAGGTTTGCATTTCAAGACCTGTGTGCTTCATGCAACACAGAATCGAAGGCAATTATATTTCGCCGTTTGTGCCACACTCATTCACTGCGCGTGCGGGAAGTCCGGAAGCCATCATCATAGCAGCCTCTTGGCACAGACCGGTGACAAGTCCTTTGTTTGCGTCCTCGAAGCTCTTTCGAGTCTCTTAGACAGCTCGTGTCGCTGCCAATGCTGCCAGTTTTGCTCAAACGTCCTCCCTGGTGCCCTGTTCAAGCCCCCTCTTAGTGCCATGTCACGCCGGCCAGGCCGCAAGAGATCACGGGGACACAGTGCACACTGCAGGAGTTGAATTTCTTATGAGTGCGTTTGAATCACAGGTGCAGCCCTGTTTGTGCTCGCATTGGCAGCCTGCGGGCTTTGGAGTGCTTTCGTCGGCCCAACGAAGCGCGCAGCGAGGGTGGACCGAGTGGCGTTGGAGGCAAGCCGAAAGTTCATCGTTGGTGGCTGCCTCAGACCTCAGAGGCAAGTGGCATGGGTCGGCATGGGCTGGCTGCCCGGCCCGCATGCTCAGGTGGCAACTGGAAGGCCAACGGAAGTCCAGACAGTGTCAAGAAGCTTGTCAAGGATCTGAACGATGGAGACATCACATCCAAGGACCCATGAAGCTGCCGAAGTCTGCAGTCTCCATCCTGTCTTGCGGGTCGTGACCACTGCACTGTGGGCAGCTGCTCAGGATGTAGAAGTCGTGTGTGCTCCGCCGTTTGTCTTCCTCTCGGAGGCCCAACATAAGCACATGCGGCTGGAATAGGCCCCACCATAACCAGAACAAATCCTTGAAGCTACGAGAGACCGACAGAATGGAATGGTCAGGTGCAGGGCAGCCTGCGCAAGGACTTCGCCGTGGCCGCACAGAACCTTTGGGACAAAGACCCAGGTGCATGGACAGGTGGGCAAAAGATCTGCGCCTGGAGGGTTGCTGCACTGGATTGCGCTGGCCAGGTGAGATTCCTGCACAGATGCTCGCTGACATGGGCATCAAGTGGGTGGTTCTGGGCCACAGCGAGCGGAGGGAGAACTGCGGTGAAACAAGCCAGATCGCCTCTCACCCAGTCAGCTGTGTGCAACAGCATGGCCCAGCCCAGTTCACCTAGCAAGATGAGATCCAGGTAGCCGAGAAGACCAAGTTCGCAGTGGACAACGGCTTCAGCACTCTTACATGCATTGGCTCCTCAGCTCACATCGGAGCAAGGATTCGAAAACGAGGTTTTGCGCTGACACTGGACAGCCTCGCATGGAGAAGCGAGTCAGAAGAGTTGATTCTCAGGTGAGAAGCTTGATGCCCGCGAGGCTGGCAGCTGCTTGGTTACAGCTTTACGGCAGCGAAGGAAATTTAGTGCAGCGTTCAGGGTGGAAAGACTTTCGAAGTGCTGGACGAGCAGCTGAAACCTTTGGCAGATGTACTCTCTGAGGAGTGTCTGCAACCTCAGTGATAAGTGATAAGTGTCCTTTGGAACGGCCATGCCTCTCCAGGAGGACTGGGAGAAGGTGGTACTGGCATACGAGCCTGTCTGGGCAATTGGTACCGGAAAGGTGGCCACTCCTGAGCAGGCGGGAAGGGCTTCAATTCCCGTAGCAACTGGAAGCGTCTCTTACCTGAAAGGCCGAAGAGACCCACGCCTACATCCGAAAGTGGCTTACGGAAAACGTGTCCGAAAAGGCCTGCACATCAGACCAATTTGCCGTATTGCGGATTCCAGCTCTCCTGGAGGTCAGCGATTCGGTCCGCATTCAATATGGAGGCTCAGTGAACGACAAGAATGCCGCCGATCTCGGAAGCTTGGCCGAAGGATGCGCCATGCTGCATGGTAACAATAGCATCGAGCATCGGAGACATCGCCAGAAGCTTCCGTCACACACCGAGGACAGCAGCCCAACATTGATGGCTTCCTTGTTGGTGGTGCTTCTCTTAAGGGCGATTCTTTCAGCACCATCATCAACTCTGTGTGAACCTGACGCTTGCGATGTAGAGTCCCGTGCATCAGACATGCATCGAATTCCTTGAATGTTAGAGTGAAGCTCACACCCATGATGCGTGGTGTGGCCAGTTTGAAGGCCTCTTGCCACAAGGAATTCTGTCTCTTGCACGACGGACCTCACTATGATTAATTTTCATAGCTGTGGAGCTGTCACTGCTCAATTCTTCATTGGTGTTGAAAAACTGGGGTGCGGTGGCAGTCTGCTGTAGCCCTGCTCTCTGCCTGTTGGCAGTCTCATGGTGTTTTAGGCACCGTCAATTTCGTGTTGCATCTTAGGTTACATATGGCGGCGCGGTGCGTCGGGCCTTCACCGAGCTTTCGCGTGTGGGTGCAAAGCAGGTTGCCGTGCTGGCTGGTGATTCTCGCAGCTTGCAAGAAGACAGCGTAGTCTTGCAAGTCGTGTGCGCTGCATAAGAGCTGCAAACAACACATGATGCGACATGGCAGGACTGAGCTTAAGTTTGTTAACGAATTTTGTTGTGTTCCTCGTAGTTCACTAAACGCAACTACGCGACCTGAGGACCCAAGTAACCGCAGTAGCAGCAAAGTGTTTCCAGCTTCTGCGATGTCATCTGAGGCAACCCAGAAGAAGCCCGGGAATGTGTCCTGAAGTTCCATGGCATCGGAAGGGTTGAGGGGAGCAGGAAGTTGTTTGCGGTTCCACAAAGCTCACGAGGCTGAGGAGGTGATGTGATGAATTGCAATGATTCTGTGTCGATATGATTTTGTGTATGCTCTGTTGGTAGTGACTCGCCTGGAGGCGTTGCCTGGCTGCAGAGTGCTTGAGTCCAGCTGAATTGGTCTCTGCATTGGCACCGGGTGTGGCCGAAGGCCCCTGCACTCTGCAAAGCTTCTGAGAAGTTTGAGGAAACCTTCTGTTTCCCATCGTTTCGTGTCTCACCGCGGCGAGGTCGTGCTTGGGAACTTCTCCGAGGAGCGGAGGCCGGGGGTGTTGGATTCCGACTCCTACCGCTTTGAATGTCAGAACCTTTTGTTCTCTGGGGTCAGGCCAGCAGCGAAGAGATTCAGAGTCTCGCAGATGTTCTGAACGTGCGCGTCTCTGATTTGCTGGTCAGCCCTCTTGGAGACGAGGAGGAGGTGGGGCCGATGGGGCGGCACAAGCGTCGCTTTGTGCATTGTCCGATGTGGACAGGTTGTTGTGACTTACGCAGAGAAGAGCCGGCAACATGCACGTCGGATGAAGAGCTATGTGCTCTTTCCCGGTGCCCGGACGAGGCGGGCACAGGCGAAGGCAGCTAAGCCTGCTGAGCAGCTAAGTTACACTAATCACGAAGCGTGACTTTGTCAGTGACTTCGTCTTTGGGCGAAGGCACCAGCCAGACCTGAAGACCTTCGACCTCGAGGTGCTGGAGTCTGCAACCCCCGGCGAGAGTAGCTGAGATGCATATCAAGGGCATCCGAAGGGGTCAGTGGTTCTGCCTCGATGGTTTCAGGTCTCAGTTGTGGGCTGCACACTTTCGTCTACCACTTCGGCTCCGAGGCTGTCGAGCTGAGGCGATCTCTGACACGAAGTCTATTCGAATTTGCCTTTCCTTCGATTCTGTGTCTTGATGCCAATATGCAGAGGTGGTCCACCAGACTCGGAGCTTCACGCGCTACAGTCCTACGACCAGGAGATTCCTCCTACATCGCGCCATTAGTGGAGCCGCCTGACAGTGTTTCAGTTATCCGAGCAACGTTTGCCGAAGCCGACGTGTTTTCCAACATGTTTTCCGCTTCAGGCACAGCTTCTCTGTTCTTCCTGGGGCTGTGCAGGCCAGGACATGGCTGTAGGACAGAAGGAAGTATGGCTTTTCTACTCATTTTGGGCCTTTGGGGAAGTGCCGGCGCTGCCGCACTTGCACAAGCACGAAACACCTCCCATGACGTGCAACGAGCATCTTGGGCCTCATAGGGCTGCTCTGGCGGGATGTCTGGGTCTCAAGCAAGGGCTGAAGCTTGCCTTCATCACGAGCATCATCCGCCACACAGCCTTTGTCCACGCACGCGTGCCGTGGACACTTCCTGGGGAAGCTTCAAGGTATGTTTGAAAAACTGTCGACGCCCGGTCCCCCTCAACAGGCGAGTATTGAAGCTTGTCGCGCTTTCTGGGAGAGGGAAGATTTCCAGGTCAGGGTTTGCTAGAGCTTCGTTGCATGTAAAGTTAGCTGTCTCCTTGCAAGAGCTGTTTTGTTGCTAAAATCTTGCAACATGTCTTGAACTGGGTGCAATAGTTTATGTCTTGTTGACACGGGAAGGTGGCAGGGAGGGAACGTCTGAACGAGCAGCGGACGCAGTCATTGTGTCTGGTGCTGGGTTTAACGCGCCGAGACAGCGCCCAAGCGACATAGACTACAGTGGCTATAGTTGTCGACATGTTTTTCACTTGTTTCCCTGTCTGCTCGCTGCTCGCCTGTGCACAGTACCTGACTTCTAGGGAGCTCTTCCGAGTGCCGAGTTTTTCTAGGTTCACGGTACACCAAGCTCTTGAACGTTTGAAAATCACGAAATTACAACAGGCACAGTCGATGAATACTCTGCCCTGTCTTCCTCGAAGCAGCTGGCCCTTTCTTTTTTGCACAAGTTGCGTGCTTGTTCAACATGTGCGTATCCCGAGAGACCGGAATCCAACACTGCACTCCGAGGCTAGGCCGCTAGGCCGCTAGGCCATGAGCCATCACTCTGAGCAAGCAACGCAGCGACGATCAGGAGCCGGGGATGAACGGTGCAGCCTGCGGAAAGGGGCGGCGTCTCTTCCTTGTGCGCATCCCCGGGCAGCTGCTAAGAACCCAGCCGTCTGACAAAGCTGATGTTGACAGATTCAGTCTTGCAGAGTCAGGTCGGGTGAAACTCTCGCCGAGTTTGCGACATTTTCCACCCATGGCCGTGAGCGCGTCGGAGCAGAAACGGCAGGGGTCCCGTTCAGGCAGCTGAGAGGGGCCCTCCTGCCCACGAGCGCTTCTCCTGAGGTGCAGTGGTATAATTGACCATCCCAGCAGCGAGCAGCTCAGCTCTCGCTTCTGTCTCTTCGGATGGGAGGGATACCTATGACAGGTCTGTTCTTTTCCTCCCGCCAGACCAGCCAGGCAATGCTTTTGGGATTGTTAGGTTTGCAGGGAGATGTTGTGGTGGACTGGCCATCCGCCCGATGCTGATGTGGCCACGTGGACTCATTTCGATGTTTCGGAAGTTGGAGCTGCTACGCACTGCAAGGCACCGTTCTTGGGCGACTCATTCCGTGCAATGGCCGGGCCTCCGCCCGGCCACTTGCCGCTTTGCCTGTTTTGCGGTCACGACGACGGCAGGAGCAGGAGTAGTAGCACACACGCTCGTCGGAGGACTGGTGTTTTCCTGCGTTTCGGAGCCCGTTTGCACGACAGGTGGGGGGGTAGGGGTTGGGGGGCGGAGGATGATAACGTTCATGTCACTGCCTTTGGCGATCACACTCAAAACCCTGGTATTTACAGCATTTGTGCTTGTTTGTACAACGCATGCAGTGCAAGTAGTGCTTTCCTTTGTGAAAAATTGCGTAAAACGCCCATAGCAAAAGACACTTACCAAACCTTCGAAAGCTACTTCGTGATTTTTGACACCCGCAGCTGATCGCAGCTGCCCAATGCGCGTTTCTGTCAGCCCTGCCAGTACTTTCGGCACTTCATGAGCCTAAACGCACAGCTTTTGAATATTCCACTTTTCGTGGTAAGGGTGCTCAAATCTGCAGATTGCGTTCGATCTGAAACGCGTTAAAGCACCAGTCCTCCTACGAGCGTGTGTCCTAGTAGTAGCACTGGTCATTCTATGCGTCGTATCCCGTCCGTACACTATTTCCTAAACCTATGTGGGGGTGCAGATTCTCCTGTCACCTCTGCGTCCCCGGCCAGACAGCTTTGTTGTTTCCATTCGGTGGACCGGGTAACACTCGAGAAAATTGATGCGCTCGATGACGACGCCTTTGAACACCTCCGCCGCTTTGCCGCTTCCGGTCTTGTTGGCGCTGCTGGGGCCGCCCCACTGTGTGCTGCTTCTTCGAAGGCACGTTTTCGCGCGGGTGGCCTGCCCGTCCTTGTGGTCTTCCTTGAGCCCCAGTCAAAGGAGATGGCACAGCCGTGGATCTGTTGCCGCGAACTTTTTGGTTTGGTAGCTGGCTTGAGCAACCAGCCTTCGAGCTTGTTATGGCTCGACGCGAAGGTCGTGGCCCGGTCGCATGCATGTGTTTATAGAGAGTTTCGGCATGTTCACATGGACTTTCAGGACACAAGGCCTGAGCCTGGTCCTTTTTCTGCAATTTTTCGTCCGTGTCCTTCTTGGCTTCTTCTCACTCGCCATACTGCGAGGTACCCGAAATCTTTGGACAACTTGTTGTGTGATCTGGTTGTTACCACCACCACCACCACCACCACCACCACCACCACCACCACCACCACCACCACCACCACCACCACCACCACCACCACCACCACCACCACCACCACCACCACCACCACCACCACCACCACCACCACGACGTCATCATCATCATCATCATCATCCCCACCATGCCAAGACTAACACTAACACTGGCGCCCACTATCTAACAATAGCATCACTAGCAATCACAATCATGCTAACACCAGCTTACAAAAACACGAACAAGTAATTAGCTAACGGATGAACGAACTAAATACTACTTTGACGAGCTTCCAACTTTTATAACGGCTAACGGCTAAGCCCCTGACGATTGCTAGCTGCCCAAGACTGAACTGCTACGTACTGCGACTTCAACTGCTACACCTGCAACTACTAGCACACATGACCACGACCACTACCCTGGCTGCTAGTAGTAGTAGTAGTAGTAGTAGTAGTAGTAGTAGTAGTAGTAGTAGTAGTAGTAGTAGTAGTACTACTACTACTACTGCTACTCCTACTACTCCTACTCCTACTCCTACTCCTACTCCTACTCCTACTCCTACTCCTACTCCTGTGCTGCTGCTGCTGCTGCGACTGTCTACGACCGACGACTGCGACTGCGACGCCGGCGACGACGATGACTACTACACTGACACTGACATAATGCTAACGCTAGGACTAACCCTGACGCGAACGCTAACACAAACACGAGCAACACGAACAGAACGCGAACAACAGCATGTTCACTAGCCCTCAGCACTAGCACACACACAGACACACAGACACACAGACACACAGACACACAGACACACAGACACACAGACACACAGACACACAGACACACAGACGCACAGACACACAGACACACAGACACACAGACACACAGACACACACAGACACACACAGACACACACAGACACACACAGACACACACAGACACACACAGACACACACAGACACACACAGACACACACAGACACACACAGACACACACACACACAGAGACACACACACAGACACACACACACAGACACACACTGATGGATTCGGCCAAGAGAGCAAGAAGAGGAGAGTATGTTGTATGTTGTTGTCTAATCTGGACACCACAGGGGGCCTGTCCTTGAGCTAATCTTGGCACCACAGGGGGCTGCCGAAAGTTGCGCAGGTATGCTTGTGGTGTGCATATGAAAAGTTCGTCGTCGTTGTCCTCGTCCTCGTTGTCTTTCCACTCCTCATCCACCAGCTGGCACGACCGCCCCAGGTGCAATGAAGGTGGCAAAAGCAGGTACGTTTTCACAGGCTTTCCGGGAAGGTCTTCGTTGACCACCGCTCCCCGGAGGCCTCGGTGGTCCCCTGCAAACTTTCATGTGTTTAAGTGAAAATGTATTGCAAGAATGTGTCAGATCCAACGGAAAGGAGTGACCCTCTGCTCCCATGTGCTAGGGAGGTTCACACACACAGCCCCAGCTTGGGGCGGCTGTGTGCAGTGGAATAAAGCCGCGCCAGGGCTCCAAGATCTAAACGAACCCAAACTAAACCACAAAACCCTGTGGGCTGCAATGCCCGCTTGCAAAGCTTGTCGATGTAGTCCAGAATGTAGTAATGTTGTGGTAGTCCAAGATGTGGCGAGGCGTAAAATTTAGGGTTCAGGACTGTCCTTCAGCTGGGCACGCAAGCCCCCAGAAGCGACAGAGGGGAAGGAAGGCTGATCAGCTGCCCTTGCAAGGGCCCAGATCCAGCCGGGGACTGTTCCTCAGCTGGGCGCGACGGCCCCCAAAAGAAACAGTAATGAGGGTTAATGGAGAAAACTGCTACCCAGCTACCCTCGAAGGGGTCCAGGGCTAGCAGCTTCTGACCAATGTGTTGCACATGTGGTTGTATGTTGTAATTAGGGTGGTGAGAATAGGGTGAGGACACTCCTTCCAGCTGTCACCAAAGACCCAGGAACGGAGTGACTACTGCCCGGCTACCCGAGCAGGGTCCAAGGCCAGTAGCAGGATTAGGGTATTCCACCCTCCAGCTGTGTAGCAAAAGACACCCAAGAGCGGTGGACCATCCTCCAGCTGTGCAGAAAAGCACCCAGGAGCAATGGAACGAGAGGTACCACGTCCTGCGTGGTCCTCAACTTAAGGTGTGGGGTTGAGGGGAGAGAGAAGCGAGAGGCCGATTACTTCCCGGAGGAAGCGCCGCTTCACTTGCACTAGACGAAGGTTACCACACCTGCCCTCATGTCAGTTGCACATGCCCTTGCAGTCCCTGAGAAATAAAGAAGCGGTCGAATAGAGGACAGACTAGCGAGGTAGCACCTGCTCACTAGACGCACTTTACTGCATTAGCCGTCCATTACTGCACCTGCACTCATGTCAGACTCACATGCCGGCATCAGAGAGAGAGAGATAAAGTAGCATCGGGAGATTCTGAACAGTCTGAACGAAGGCTGAACACCCGGTTCATCACCGGTCTCCCCGGAGGGTCACCACGGCGCCATGACGGAAAGCCGTTGCTCTGGAGTCTCAAGACCCACGCTGGTCACACTGATGGATTCGGCCAAGAGAGCAAGAAGAGGAGAGTATGTTGTATGTTGTTGTCTAATCTGGACACCACAGGGGGCCTGTCCTTGAGCTAATCTTGGCACCACAGGGGGCTGCCGAAAGTTGCGCAGGTATGCTTGTGGTGTGCATATGAAAAGTTCGTCGTCGTTGTCCTCGTCCTCGTTGTCTTTCCACTCCTCATCCACCAGCTGGCACGACCGCCCCAGGTGCAATGAAGGTGGCAAAAGCAGGTACGTTTTCACAGGCTTTCCGGGAAGGTCTTCGTTGCCCACCGCTCCCCGGAGGCCTCGGTGGTCCCCTGCAAACTTTCATGTGTTTAAGTGAAAATGCATTGCAAGAATGTGTCAGATCCAACGGAAAGGAGTGACCCTCTGCTCCCATGTGCTAGGGAGGTTCACACACACACACACACACACACACACACACACACACACACACACACACACACACACACCACACACACACACACACACACACACACACACACACACACACACACACACACACACACACACACACACACACACACACACACACACACACACACACACACACACACACACACACACACACACACACACACACACAACACACACACACACACACACACACACAGACACACACACACACAGACACACACAGCACACAGACACACACACAGACACACACACACAGACACACACACAGACACACACACACACACAGACACACACACACACACACACACAGGCGCACACACACACACAGGCACACAGACACACAGACACACAGACACACACACAGACACACACACAGACACACACACACACAGACACACAGACACACACACACAGACACACACAGACACACACAGACACACACAGACAGACACAGACAGACACAGACAGACACAGACAGACACAGACAGACACACACACGCACAAACGCACGAAGACACGAACACGGGAATACACGAACACACGAACACACGAACGCGGACGCTAAAACTATAGCACAACACCAACATTGACACGCACTCAGGCTATGGCACTAGCACTAGCATTAACACC